GTGGTAAATGAACGTAACAGCAAAGAGACTTGGGCGAGTCCAGAGTTTAGGGCATTATGTCAACACCCACATTTCAAGCGGTCAGTGGTGTCAGCTGTATACTTCCAATGGTAGCTACAACCGATGCGTCTGGTGTGTTGCCGAATGGATCTTCTTTGGATTCTGGTCAAAGAAATCCCTTCGACCTCACTTGGACGTCTGATCCTGATCCTAGTGTTGAAAGTAATTTCTGTTGTGATCCTCTCACTCATCAAAGAGATAAAAAAAGCGAAAAAACTTTAGAAAAGCAAGCTGACGAGAACGATGAAAGTGACAAACTTCTACGAGGCTCGTCCTCGAAACCAGCAACTAAAAGAAAACGTTACAGCAAGACTAGAGTTCGCGCACGAAGTCCCGAGCGACTACAGATGATTAAGAGAACGCGACGAGTGAAAGCCAACGATAGGGAGAGAAACCGCATGCACAACCTGAATCACGCTCTAGACAGACTTCGGCGAGTGCTACCGACTTTTCCGGACGACACGAAACTGACTAAGATAGAAACCCTTCGCTTTGCTCATAACTATATCTGGGCACTTTCAGAGACAGTAAAAATGTTGGACAATAGAGAACGTGACACTCCAGAGAAATCGTCGCCTACTTCGGACACGCAGGCAGCGTTTTACCTCCCTTCTGCTTCAATGTCCTCCCCGGCTACATGTTGTAACTCTCCGGCTACTGTACCTACCACGTCAGCCTGGATTTCTTCTCTAGGTGACTGTTATCTCTCTGGATTGATGGCTTACGGCTCCACGGACATGTCTGATTGTAGCAGCTCAGGCACCGACAGCAGTTGCCCTTATGAAAGTTTGTAAAAAGTTGCAGTAGCTGTAAATGTAATCTTGGTAGTAAAACACTGGTATGGTTTGGACTTAATGATCAAGCAGACTTGTAACACCCAATATTTCTATGTATATTAAACGTTTTCTATTCTACATACAGTTTTCAGGGTTTGTTTGAAACATGTAAACTTCAGATATTATGGTGAAGAGAAGACAGTGTGAGTGAGAGTTTCTTATAGGTGTGATAATGTATAATCTACCGGTTTTAACAACCCACAAATCTAGTGCTTTCGTTCTGCATCAACCGAATACGGGCTTAAGGAAGTTAACCAGATGATTTTTAACCATAGCTCCCCTCAGCTTGACAACCCCAACTTCCGTTGTCACTATAATGGGGCTGGTGAGTACTTAATGCCGAAGTGTTGCCGGTAGAACTTGTGGGAAATATATTCTGGTCTTGTTCCCTCTTATCACCGTTAGACCTTACTCTGTGCTTAAGAAAAAGTGCTGTAAATCTTTCTAGTTCGTAGTTCTTTTGTTAGTGATCGCTTGTCCGTACCTGTGTTCCAAGTATATGATAGAGTTAGTACAACTAGAAAAATTAGAAAAGATCCTTATCAACTGATTCAGTATGCAGTTTTATGTTATTTTAAAAACTACATAAACATTGTAATAATGTGTAAATACAAAATTGTTATTTTTATAAATAGTTTTTAGCATATTCATGTACAAGTGTATGGCAAAAACATTTTCAGAATAAACCACAATAATGTGAAATTTGTGTTATTATTTAATATATATAGAAGTGTAACAAATAATCCAGTGATTTAAACTATTTCATATTAAATATTCACTTTAGACGACAGCTCGCAATGGTTAAAGAGAAATAAATATTTTTTAGCCGCGGCATAGCGGCTCACAGAATAGCTCTGAGATTTTGTTTTGTTGTTCAAGTACAAACTTGTAGCTCATATTTCTTGACCGGTTTGAGATATAATTACGGTTTTGAACTCAGAAGGTCAAACCTTTTCGATTGATGTATTTGACCACTCCCAAGGTCTCATAGATTAAGTTACTCTAATCCTGCCGAAAAGAATCTCAAGTTGAGGGTAAGCTGGTGGAGATTCTGATGAGTAATAAAATCGAATCGGATATACGCGAGTCCCACGCTTGATATTACCGGCGTTCACAAGTATAGCTAATAAAGAGAAGAAAAAAAGGTCTCATAGATTAATTTACTCTAATCCTGCCTAAAAGCTATTGTTTTTCAAGTACGAACGTTTAGCTCACAGATTCATCTCTTGACCGATTTGAGATCTAATCACAGCCGCGGCTATTGAAGACCCCCTCTTGTCTTTAATTGTATAGTCACCGTTTCACTTTACAGCTTCTTCAAGAACATTCCGCTAAAACACAAACCGTAACCTAGCTCGTAACGACAAAAGTTACAGTTTGTATTTTAATGGAATGCTCCTGATAAAGCTATAAAACGAAGCGTTGAAAGTTCAATTAAAAAAAAGAATAATAACAAAATTATTGTTATAAGGTCGTTTATTACTACTAATAAAATATCCTTTATACTCCAATATGCACTACAGAAATTAAAGAATGACACAATGTTCGTTTTTGTAAGAAGGAAGTGAAGATATAGACGTTAAGAAAAGTGGGGTGTCTGGATGGTTATTAATAGTTCGTTTATGTAAGAAGGAAGTGAAGATATAGACGTTAAGAAAAGTGGGGTGTCTGGATGGTTATTAATAGTTCGTTTATGTAAGAAGGAAGTGAAGATATAGACGTTAAGAAAAGTGGGGTGGGTGTCTGGATGGTTATTAATAGTTCGTTTATGTAAGAAGGAAGTGAAGATATAGACGTTAAGAAAA